TATATATATATATATATATATATATATATATATATATATATAAACTCTTTTTTCCTTTGTAGGTGTTTTAGGAATTTAGTTAACTGTTTCAACTGTTTTCCTTAGTTATTAAAACATGCAAGATCACAAGGATCTATGATACTCAGAACAATATTTTGCTATCTGTTCCATAATTCATTCACAATCTACCAATTAGATGCTTAAAGTTTCTTATTCACAGTTAAAAACAACTGCGAATGTACTATAATAATCGAGAAGCTTTTTCATGGGAGAGTTTGGTCAATTCTTGAAGCAAAAATTCGGAGACTGACATACGAATCTCCAAAAAATATATCCAAGGGCATGCTACATTCATCAAGAAAACCAAAGGAAAGAAAGTATACGATGACCAATATGATTATAGAAAAGCCCAATCTAGAGAGAAGTAGGGTAATTGACAGGATGTAAGGGAAAAACTACATAAAGCATGTGTTAAACCTAGCAAGTGATAAAAGCAATAAAGCAAACACGAGGGAGTAAACGTGAATGGGCAGGTCCTGTTGAAATAAGTAAAGCTGAGAAAATTCCTTGCAATCTGCCACAGCATCTGAAACCCAACTATCATTGAGATAGAGAGAGAGAGAGAGAGAGAGAGAGAGAGAGAGAGAGAGATGGGAAGAAATAAGAAGATGGAGGCTTACCAAGCAGCGAGGATGGGAGACCCAACGAGATGTAGTACAATATGTGGACGATGTAAAGTGAAGAGGCTTAGAGAGAGAGAGAAAGACCGAGGGGAGAGATGGGGAGGAGGATAAAAACACAAAGGAGAAACTTAGAGAGAGTGTGTGTTGGATGGAGAGAGAGAGAGCGTTTGATAAGCAGTGTCCCTAGGAATCACCCCTGCTGCTGACTTTCCTAGATTCTGGGATGCAAGTGAAAATTGATAGGGTGAAAGCAGGAAACCCTGTTTGATAAATTGTGCTGCTAGCAATTTCACCTGTTTGGCAATGGGAAACTGCCCGTAATACTATTTATTATGCATTTTATTGATATGATGTGCAAAATGTAGTTTTTTAAAAATATTCTGTAATTAAATAAGGTTTCTTTCATTCATCCAACATATTACCAAATTGAGAAAAATCCAGGTCTATTTTTTGAATAATAATATTAAATAAATAAAAAAAGCCAGGTCTATTGACATACAATTCCTAAGAATGCATTGAAAATCAAATCCTAGTCCACAAGAATCACTTCATTCTGACCCCAAGGCAACAAAACAATGGCCAATACACAATCCCCAGCTATAAATAAGGAACTATATAAAATTAATCAGAGAAACATTAAGAAGAATAGAACACTAATCAATGGAAGAACGACACATAAGAAACTGCTCTTTCCACAAGAAGGAAAAAAAAACCTAGATCATCATACAGTGATTCATTTGAACACTGATCTACTACTGCTATTACTTCAAAAAAAGATAAATTATAACCAAACATTTATTCTTTGATAGATGCTGAACCAAACAAAGACAAAAGACATAATAATATCAAAATCTCAACCAGATGGAACCATCAGGGTCAAAATAAGAAAAAAATAAGTAAGAGTAATCAGTATATGATTGCTTTACCAGAATAGAGATAGAGAGTAATGCTTACTATAAGGAAACAAAATGAGCAAAGAGATGCAAAGCCCTGAATAAATCCATGGCAGACTTATAAAAGATAAAAGCATTCTCATCAGAACTACTCGCACAGATAAAAGAGAAGGAAATAAATTTTCTGTTTTCAAGAAAGAAACTTTTTTTATCAGATGCATTACACAACAGACAGTGCCAAGGAAGAACAATTTTCTATAACATCCAGCTGCATAAATTAGAGATAATGCATACAAACACCCTAATTTCAAACAGAACAAAAACATTAATTAAAAGAATAAAGCCACTCTTAACATGCCATAAAAATGCACAAAAAATACATATAGAAACCTAAATCATGATAAAATGTACAGAAATAGACCATAACATTAACTCGGGGACCAGTTCCAAGTGAAGAACATGCCTAAAACTATTGAAAATCAAAATAAAAAAGTATGGATGTAACAAAAAACAAATAAAAATCCGAGGATTAAAGAACAAAATAAGCAAAAAAGGCTAATAAATTAATACTTCCATCTAGTTGAAATATATGCAAGCATCAGATTGAAAAATCAACCAATAAATAAATATATATATTTTTTGAATATGTATCAATAAATAAATATAATCCCAATCTAAAGTAAAAATGACTCCAAGAAAACCAAATCAACGCAGACCCTTGATCGACCACCAACAAACATCAAAACAATAAAACCAATAAGAAATATATGATAATCACAATCAGATGGAATCAAAAGGACCATCTCCATGCCCGAGCTAAAAGACTGAGAATCCACCAAATCCTAATTTCCTAAACCCCTAATTTTAAAAATAATTAACTCACTGATTTGGGGCTTCTCGGTAGGTGAAGCCAAGTATTTCTTATCAGTTAAAATAGCTGCAAAAACAAAAAAAAATCACTAGTTTAGTGTTAGAATTCGTGGGAGCATAGAATAGAGAATGGAGAGAACACAATATTTACGTAGTTCAAACCGGAGCCTAACGTCCACGGATCCAAAGCCCAACTAACTAATCATAAGAGCATAGAATAGAGAACGTCCAACATCCACAGATCCAAAGCCCGACTGGCTAATCGTAGGAGCATAGAGTACAGAATGGAGAGAACACAACATTTATGTGGTTCAAGACAAAGCCTAACGTCCACGGATCCAAAAGCCCAACTGGCCACATATTTACTATTTTAAATGAATGTTTACATTAATAAGGACCTCTATATATAGAGGACAATCACACAATCATGAGATAAATATCGTATGATAACTTGATGTCTAAGTAAATTGGTGTCGATCTTCTAGATACCTAACCTTATCAAGAGATATATACATACATCAATATGAACCCGAGATATCCATATCCCAACACTCCCCCTCAAACTCAAGATGCTTTGACACGAACAATACTGAGTTGCCAAAATTAATACTGAGTTGCCAAAATTGCCATGATAAATTTCACAGGTTACCATGGTCTTCCAAGAAACAACCTTTCTTGGGTTCTCTACTTTCTTCTCTGAAGATCTTCTCTCTTCAGAGGCTTCTCTGAAGATCTTCTCTCTTCAGAGGCTTCTCTGAAGATCTTCTCTCTTCAGAGGCTTCTCTGAAGATCTTCTCTCTTCAGAGGCTTCTCTGAAGATCTTCTCTCTCTGAAGATCTTCTCTCTTCAGAGGCTTCTCTGAAGATCTTCTCTCTTCAGAGGCTTCTCTGAAGATCTTCTCTCTTCAGAGAAGTCTTTTCTTTCTAGAGGCTTTCTCTCTCTAAAAGAAATGTTCTTTCTTTCTCTCTTCTTCGGAAGATTCGGGATCGAGCAACGAAAAACTCGATGATCATCACTCAGGATGGAGCAACGAAAAACTCCATCATTAAACAGGAAAACTTGATCAAAATTCGATCATCAAACTAAAACAAAAACTAGAGACTTGAAACCAAAAACTGGAGTCTTGAAAGCAAAAAGTTGGCAATGAAATTGGGCTTCTAGACAATAGCCCACATCTTAAAAGAAATACCACCCAATTTTATTTTTTTATTTTTTTTTTAACAACCCCAAAACGAAGAGACTTTGGCACCAAACCCGTGCACGTAATAACACACACTGCCAGATAACAAAAACCCATTAATAACTTGCAATAACTGCATAATTCTTGCATCAAGACGAAGGTTTTCTCGAGCCTGTAGAAGATGGGTATACTTTTTTACCATCAGAGCCGATAAGTCCCAACTTCTTAGGCGTTGTCTTTGTCGACAAGATAGTCACTTGCTCGCAAAAAGTAGATATAGTAACAATGCCACGGAGCTATGCTCTTTGATCACCATCAAAACCATTTAATAATGGATATGCACGTATATTTCTCAAGACCAGGTATAGGCACGAAGCTCTCTTTGATCACCATCAGAGAACAATATTTGTTTCTCAAGACCAAGCATAAAAGAAGAGTTTTGATATGGTCCCTATGGACCATCAAATGAAAAGGAGGGATTTGTTTGAAAACATGGAGACTCTCTCTCTAGATTTTATCCTCTCTTCATCTTCTCCGTGAGAAGATTGGACGGCAGATGTAGGCCCCAAGAGCAACAAGGGGGATGCGACAGATTTACGAGGGGGAAGAAAGGACTTTACGTTGCGCACAACGCACTGGTGCAAGGAGTTTTGGAGGAGGCGAGGCGAGCGGATGCCCACAGTTACAGCTCTATTATGAATAGCTTCGACGAGCAAAAGAGATACGATTTACTCTCTTTTCTTGAGGATGACCCATATTTTCCATCAACTGAATTGGACCAAGAAAAGCCTGCACAAGAGGATAAAGACGATGTAGCTGATATGCCCGTGTTCTTTGGTAAAAAATACGGGTCCCTTCCGGAGTCCTATATATGGATTTCTTCCTCTGCCGACGAGGTCAACTCCATTTGTTGGAACAGCTTCCGTTGAGTCTCTGCACCTATGGGCCGACCCCATCGTCTCCACCCCGTAGGAACTACGAGACCACCCCAAGGACGCCTTCGGCATCCAGGGGTCACAGACCGACCATATACCCTGTTCAATAAGTGGAACGCATTAGCTGTCCGCTCATAGGCCACGAATCTATGCCAACAGTAAAGCCATCAGTAAAGCTAGAGGGTACTGAATATTCTGACCTTGGATCTGAGGTTGGCGAGTTTAGATTTGAGCCGAGGACGTTGGAATCAAAGGTCGGCGAGCTCAGATCTGAATCGAGGAGTCTATTGCTCTGATGGACTGTTAGAATTCATGGGAGCGTAGAAAAGAGAATGAAAAGAGCGAGCTCAGATCTGAGCCGAGGAGTCTATTACTCTGATTCCATGTTAGAATTCATGGAAGTATAAGGAGTCTATTACTCTGATTCCATGTTAGAATTCATAGAAGTATAAAATAGAGAATGGAGACAACACAACATTTATACGGTTCAAGCCGAAGCATAACGTCCACGGATCTAAAGCCCAACGGGCTACATATTTACTATTTTGGATGAATGTTTATATCCATAACGATTTCTATATATAGAAGACAATCAAATAATTATATGAGATAAATATAATATGATAACGTGATGACCAAGTAACTCGGCCTCTATCTTTTAAATACCTACCCTTATCAAAAGATATATACATATATATCCATAATAATATATATCAGAACTCGAGATATCCATATCCGAACCTTTATGGTTTCTCAACAAGAATAACAAAAAAAATTCAAACTCACAACAAAATTTAAAAATCGGTTTATCATCATAGTAAAAAAAATAACAACTCACTCATTCGTGGCTTCAATCTCTTCAACAGGCATCTCGGACTTTCTCTTCGTCGAGGGTTGGTTGGAACCAACAAACGGGCTTTCTCTTCCTCAGGGTTGCTTGGAATAAACAAGGGAGGCGAGAGAACAAAGAAGAGGGATAGTGTTGGGAAGCTCAGAGGAACAGAGAAGGCAAGCTCAAATAAGTGCGGCGAGGGAGAACGTCTTGAGGGGTGAAAGTCAGGCAACCTTTTCTCAAACACAACCTAAGCGGTTCCAGGGAATAAGGGAAAATGAATACCCACTACTTTCCTCAAAGGCTGGTCGTGAATGTCCACCAAAAAAAAAAAATCATGTTTAATTTTTCTACTTAAAAATGCTAAGAGGATGGACGGCAGGGATTGAATCTTTAGAGAATGTACTGGATCTGGGCTGTCCATCTACAAGTATCCCTACGACCCTCGAGTTGAGCTTGTTTGTAAGCGTGTTAATTTTGGGACGGGGGATGTCCTCCCTGCTTACTGAAGCAGGAGTTGAGCTACACTGATCGTTTATTTGGGCACGGGTTATTCATTTGGACAATATGCATATTTTGGGCCTGAATCAACTAAGAGAAACAGGTACAAGGTGTCTTAAAACGGGCCAACTTCCGGGCCCCATCGATGCGGTCATGAAAAATAAGGGTCTGGGCTATGTGCCCCGAGGGTTGGACCACCAAGAGCTTGGTTTAGCTTAGTCCAAGGCCGCTCCGGCTCAACCCTTTCTTCTTCTTTGACATGCTCAGGCTGCCTTTGGGCTGCCCGGCCCTACTCACCCTACTCTTATTTACTATTTTGTTGGTGAAAAATTTTGTGCTCCTACAGGACTCCATTGCTTATTTACTCCCTCAAGTAAAAATCTAATCTAGTTTTGGAGCATGTTTCGAACCTCAAAGCTTTGGGATCTAATATCTATGACCGGAGATACTAACTTCGAAGAATAAATTTTCAAAATATTATTCTCTATGTGCTTGAAAGAAATTGATATCCCCCGATTGAGCATAGACGATCCAATTTTGGAGGGTGAGATCTAGAAGTAGAAGAACTCATAATCCAAACGTTTATTTCGACAATAATCATCTAGTTCTCAGGTCGATGTCAAGTTTCCATATCTGGAAAAACATCTCCCAATAAGATCTTTTGACCAGGGAGTAAATCTAAGAAAAAGGTTATATAAGGTGTCAACCTTACAGTATAATAAGAAGGCGCACCTCAAGAACTCATTGAAAAAAAATTATCATGACACCTAAAAACCCCCAATTGATTATCTCAATTTTGAAATGTGTAACAAAAAAGAAAAGAAGAAGGATTTCAACTCTCAAGGATGCTATACTTTTTTGGGATTGTCTACAAAGAGATCATTTACCTTTATACACCTTTTGTGCGGTCACAACTATTTCCCTCATTAGATATCAAATTGGATGGCTTTGGATGAGTCGCGACGTCTCGAGAATTTGTTTTTTGGAACTTTGTATATAATCAATGATGCTCTTAGAATTTTGAAATTTAAGAAATTGTGATCTCTTAATACAAATGGTAAATAGTCTCTTTATAAAGAATCCCATACTTTTTATCTATGTAACAATTGAAAGTTTGTGTAAAGTGCTCATGTTTGGGTCCTATAAGGATTGGCTCAAGAGTGAGTAGTCAAATGGGCCTCAAGTTCCGTTTTGTTTATAAATAGGAACCTCTTCCCCGTTGAACTACCAAAAAAATAAATTTTTGGCCCCAAACACATATTTCTCTCTTCGCCTGCCTCTCTAATCCATTTTATCTTATTGTTTTCACGATACTATAACTTTAAAATGCAAATTGGCCCTCCACTATACTATTTGAATCGGCTGATCAAGATTAGCAGAATTGGTCTATTTAACTGAAACTTAAAAAATTAAAAGCAAAGGAAAATGGAAAAGTCGTAGAACTATCTATCTTTCTTCTTCTTTTTTTATGATTTAAAGTCTAAATCACCAAGTAAAAATAGAAAATATAATTATGTAGTAATTTAGAGAGATTAGAGCCTATTCTTTGGCCATGTCTCTGACCTCAATTCGGATCAATAATTCTCAGTCTAAATGGACTATTTAAGCCCTGCTCTTAAATCCTCACTCTACTCATAAGCGTTGGGGTATATATATATATATATATATATATATATAAATAAAATAAATAAAATTGCAAAGCTAAGTGTCTAAGCATCATATCCATCTTCTTCCAACCAGGTATCTATTTCATCTTCTAATAACTTCACGTCCTGAGTCAATGTCTTTTCTTTGTTTGAGTGACATATTGGTTCAGAATTGAATTTCCAAACCGAGTTTTTGAAACTTAAATGGCTCAGAACTTGAAGTTTCAAACCGCCTATTTGCTCAAGAAATTAGAGAAATGTCAACGTTTCAAAACTTGTTCTAAAACAGACGTGTGTATTTCTTAATGAGAAACCTGTTAAGAACTACAAGTTCCACCTCGCTTAATTTTCTTAAAACTCGATTGAACTAATATGTCACTAAAAAAAGATTAGTTTGAAACTGGAAGTTCTGACTTGGGGGTATTTTGGGAAAATCAGAAAGAATGAAATGGGACATGAGCATAAAACATAGTAAATAAAGGTATTTTTTAAAGGGTGCGGTTTGTATATGGCCGAGGTACTAAACAATCAAAGTAAAATGTACCTTCAGATAGTGTCAAAAAATATGATTTCAATATTGGAAATATCTATGATAGCCGTAAAATATACTTTCATTTATAATTACAACATTTAAAGCTTCAAAAATAGTGTAGATCAAGCAGATCTATGAAAACTTTGAAATCTTGAAAATTGACGGTCCAAAGATGCATTACAAGATGCACTATTTTCAAACTTGAAATCTATTTTTTTCTCATATTCATGCATCTTGAGATCGAGATGATCAATTCAATGATATTTGGGCATCAAAACATCCTCTTCTAATGAAATTTTTGACGTACGTCCTAATTTGATTGTTTGGAGCCTCACACTTATGTAAACCTTTTTTTTTTACAAATATTTCCCAAAAACCTATGTATAAAAATCTCGAATTGTTTATTCTTTTTGTTTCTAAGATGATGCAGATCAAACTTGCTATCAAGAGTTTCTGTAATAAATTTCTTTTTTGTGGCATATGATTTATCAATGATCAATTATTTACTAGAGAAATTTGTGACAAAAAATATCTACAAATATCTATATAACAATGATCAATTATTTACTAGAGAAATTCGTAACAAAAAATATCTACAAATATCTATATAACCAACGATCTAAGTTTATCGTTCAACACATGACCACCCACACGTAAGGGAGCAAAAAGATCCATGCGAGTTAAAAGGAAGGGAACTGTGTATGATGAAAAATATGATCTTCATGGTAAATATGAAATGAAGCATCATAGTCCAAGACTCAAGTGTTTTCAGTAGACAGTACTGTGCATACAATACCAAAAGTGAACATTTCTTCACCATGATACTGTACTTGTTTCGGTATGGCCACCCTTTCCCTTGGCCTTTTGTTTATTCTTCAAAGTATAACAATTTTTTTTTGTAAAACTAGGTTTCTTGCAATACCAGCAAGTGACCTTTTTGCAATGCGACTTGGATTTACCTCTACCATGAGATTTACCCTTATTAAATCCAAAACCTTGATGTATACGATGTGTTCTTCCTCCATCTTTTGCTGTCAATGCTTGATTTGATTTAGCAAGCATTGTGTGGATGCCTTTCTAGTCTCTTCATTCAACAAATGCAGCAACAACATCTTTCAAATTAAACTCGTTACCCATTGTATTTATCACAGTGGTAACCAAAGTATCCCAAATAGCAAGCAAAGAACTTTGCAAAAACAAATATAAAACTTCTTCATCCAAATTAACTTTCAAATACCTTAATTGTACATAAATAGAATTAAATTCACTAGCATGCGCTCTAATTGTCTTCTTCTATTTTTTTAAAAAATAGCTTCTTCATTACATGCATTTTATTTGTACTAGAAGGTTGCTCAAAAAATTACTCCAAAGCTCTGTATATGTTTTACATTGACAAACATCAAATAAAATTGAAGGTGAAATACAAAGTCTAATGACTGCCAAACATTTTCGATCAAGAATATCACATTTCCGATCTTCCATTCAAATAAACATGACCTCATTTCCTCGAAGTGGTTGATCTAGTTTTTTTCCCAACAAGATAATCTTCAATCATTATTTTCTGTATTGGCTAATTACTTTGATTTAGTGTTTCAAATTCCATTGCCCTTACCATTTTAGGAAAAATACAACAAATAAACACAGTAAAAACCCTTTCACCCCAAACAAAATAATCCCAAAACCCTAAGCTCTGATACTAGTAGTTGTGGTCAATGGCGGTGAACATACTACAGGGGTTTATCAAACTAACAACTATTGTGAATTATAAATCACATAAAACGGCAATGGAAACAACATAACATCAAAACAACATCATAGAATGAAAATATAGGAACATGCAACTCACAAAAAACAAAGGTTTAACATGGTTCAACCACGAACCTGTTGGCTATGTGGCATTTTAAGGCCTTAAAGCCAATAGTCTTATGCGTAGTGGAAGTTAGAGAGAAACTGAATATTGGTGCTTGGAGCACTGGGGCCCAGATTCATATATCCCGAGTATTTAAGGCACTGAGAGTATACGTTTTGAGAGTGTGAACTCTCGGGGAAGTGTGAGGGTCACCTCCCAGTCAGGAATATATTGATTAGAAAGCCTCATAGTTCATGTGATAAGCTAGGGCTTGGATAATCCAATCGAGAATAATAGAACTCGAGCATTTAAAAGAGTATTTGTCCTATATGGAATGGTCGGCTCATGGAACATGAGCCCGTATCCTGACATGAGACCGTTCCATGACATGTGCACCCACAGTCGTATGGAGAAGCCACTCTTTTATAGTATTAATCGACTTAGAAGAGCTAGTGCATATATGCTTTGAGAGGACCCCTGTATTTGAGTAGGAATATGTCCCATAGGGGTGCACCAGTAATCCATTGAACCCCCGGTGATGGGAAGCTCTGGCTCAGCGATTTTGATGTGATCAATATGTGTCATTGCCATAGACTATGGAGCATAGGTCCATTGGGTAGGCTTGAGACACCGGTGGAACGTCATTCGGGTTAGCCCAATGAAAAACTTCGACTAGTGTTAGAAGTCTAGAGATCTCATTTACCTTTGGCCCAAATTAATTTAAAAGTGACGAGAAAATATTTTATATTGATGAGAAATTGTGTACTAATATTGAAAAATTATTTAGCGAATTTTTGAGATTTTTGGAGAATTTTTTCAGATTTTTTAAACAATGAAAAAGGTAATTTTCAAATTTGTTTGACGTAAATACCAAACAAGGATATCCTATGAGGATGCTATATGGATCACAAGTGGCCATATGGATGCCATGTGGCACCCCCACCTACCCACTCGTGATGACATCATGATGACGTCATATCCATGTGGGGACCTATTTATCATTAATTCTTTTATTGGGATTATGTTATAACATGTTATCTTATTATTTATAGGATTATATATTGTTACGACTTAAGTTTGATTTAAGTTACATGTTTTTTTTTATCTCATATGTGTCATTTTTGGCATGTGTGAAGTCTTGAGATTTTGAAAATTAACTTAATTCATATTATTATCTACATATGATTTTGTAGCATGTGAGTATATCTTATGTGGCACCACCTTATGGGCTTGACCCATGTGAAACTTTAGTGTTGTTAAAATCCTATTGGTGGTGTCATAAGATATGTTATTCACATGTGTAGATGTCTCATATTACCTTTTATGTCCATGTCTTTGTATTTTATTGGCTCTCACAAATTATTCAAAAACCATGGGCATAAGTGTAAACATGAATGTGGACATAATGAGAAATAAAGCATGGAGCTAAGGGCTTCAAGGTAAAATGACTATAAACCTAGGTTTTGAGGAGTGAATGGTGTCAAAAGCTTATCCATTGATCTTAGTGAGAAGATATGGATGAGTAACTTGGATAAAAGCCTCTCATGTGCCATTGATCTAAGGCATCAAAGATCAAAATCAAATTCATCTTTATGATCTAAGAATAAAAGTAACTTATGGGATCAATTATTACCCTAACTTGAGTATTCACTTCAAAGAGAGAGAGAGAGAGAGAGAGAGCTCTTGACAAAAATGTGGTCACCCATGAGACTATCTTCTTCTTTGAGCTTTCATTTGAAACCCTTTCTGGAGTAGTCCATCATTTATGTGATCAAGCTCATACCATTGTTTCATTAAGGTATTGATTTTTTTCTCATATTTTTAATTCCTACCTCATTTCTATTATCAAAGCTTGTTGTAATTCTTAATTTATAGTAGTTTTCTTCACTTTTGGTCATGAAAACTTGATATTTGAAGAGTCACAAAGCAATAGTGTAGTCCATACGCATAGTATGTATAGACTAGTTTGCTTACTCCATGATCTTTAGTAGTTTCAACTTGATTTCTTGATCTTATTTTTCTGAAATTTTTTATTGAGAGTATACAATTTATGAGATGTTTATTTCATCATAAGAAATAATCCATTGAGTTCCTTTTTAATGTTGAAAAGTTTGTGTGGTCCCTTATGGACCACATGGTATATTTTACCATAACTTCTTTATTTTGTGTAATATCTCTTTCAAACTTTGAAGAGCTATTTTGATACTTGCCACTCTTATGATTTGATCCCCATTAAGTGAAATAAATGTGATTATTTGCTTCTCATTGGATTGATCTCTTTGAGTTATTATTATCACCTGTGCTTTAGACAATGAGACAAAATTAAGTCCTCAAAAGGCCCTTTCGTGGCTCGGGCACAAAGGGTTTGAACATGGTTTCCCCATGTATGTTTGCATGTTAATTTGATGTATTTACAGTTATTAAATGGATTCATGATTGATTAAGTTGAGTATGTTGTATGAATATGGAGATTGTTTTTTTTTTTTATCTTGCTTTATGAGCTTTAATGCTATGCATTATTGTTTATACGAATTGAAATCTTATTGAACTGTTATGATCAAGTGTATGATGTGTATGTGATATTATGATATACGATGAGGATAAAGAATAAATATGAAATTAAAATATAATTTTGATATAATAAGGAATTGCGAATGCAAGTCATGCAATATGTTGTAGAGATTTACAATGTGAATATTTAAATATTGTATTCAGTTTAATTGTACTTTTTAGTAAGGGATTTGTAAATGACCTATTAGGGTTGAATTTTATTATTCAAATGTGTATAAATCATGTTTGTAGGCTGGAATATATGTATTATGGTTTTGTAGTGAGATATTCATGCATTTAAACCCTTGAGTTTTTACACAACGGAATTTTTTTTAAAAAAGATTGCATTTCTAACCTATTGGTCTTATACCACCATTAGAACCATGACATATATTCACAGGAGAATGATACGATGTTTTATTTACTAATTTGATAAAAATTACAAGAGAGATTGAGTTTCAAAACTCTAATCTACAACAGCGTTAACTATCACAAAACCAAGGCCTAAAACATGATTCAAATACACAACAAATGCACTTTCTCTCTAGAACTGGGCAGCAACCAAGCCTCAACAACCCAACAAAGGTCCCTCCTCTAGCAGTTTCTCTCACTAGAAGTAGAACAAGAAAAAATAGGGCTGAAAAAACCCCACCTTGAGTTTTTTTCCTTTCTTGCTTTTTCACTCTATCTCTCTTTAAATAAAAAGGTCCTTTTAGATGTAAAATTCCTACGACATCAAAACCATTAGATTGGATGTAATCAAATGCCCCAAGATGCGAGAAAAAAGTCAAATAAAAATAAACACGTGTGATTTGGATTCACACATATGTAAAAAACAGGTCAATGTCCTGCCTTGTCCCTGCGCTATGAGGCATTATGATTTTTAAGGTGATTGCTACTCCTAGTCTATCAAAGAATCCAAATCACCAGGTTCTGCAAATTTTATTTTTTTTCCACTTTTATATTAAAATTGTTATTGAAACGTTTTTAGGGCGTACCGAGGAATCAATCCAGTTTGCTGATTCGAATCGCTAGTTCGTCGATACAGACTGAGTTTCCACGGGCCAGTTCACCACGCATATTCGGTTTTTGAGTCACCATTTCATATGAAGCTTTTCCTTTTGGTCTTTAGTTTTCGGCATTATCCTTATTATTTATCCGTTATTTTATTTTCCATTCTCCATAGTGACAATGACGGGTGAAGGTGAAGCTAGCTTTTCTATATTAATGGAATTGATGGAATTCTTAGGTGAAGCTAGCTTTTCTATATTAATGGAATTGATGGAATTCTTATGTTTTTTTGAGAAGGCACATCCCGTTAATTGAGCTTTCTAATTGAGAAAAGTTTATAGAGAGCCGAGACTCTAACCAATCAAATTAGAGCTTACATCAAAAATTTCATTATAAGATTTTGTTTTGATGCTCAAATATCATCAAATTGATCATCTCGACATCAAGACGTATGGACATGAGAAAAAAAATGGATTACAACTTTTGGAAATAATGTATTTTGTAACGTATTTTTGGACCGTCAATTTTTAAGATTTTTAAGTTTTCATAGATCTGTCGATCTATACTATTTTTAAATTGTTAAACTTTATAAATAAAAATGGAAATATATTTTAATGCTATCACAAAGATTTATGGTATTGAAACCACATTTCTTGACACTATTTGAAGGTAGGCTCTAATTTGATTGTTTAGAGCTTAGGCTCTATCCAACCCACACCCTTTCTAATTTGTGCTGGATGTGACTTCTTTCCTAGAAGGTATGGGAGAGAAGCGGCCTCGCCCATATATAAAAAACAGGTTCAGTGTGATGGATCCTTCACCTTTACAGGGCCATGTTGGGTCGCGGGATCAGTGATCCAAGTCGATTGGATTGGTCCGGAACAATGATCTAGAAAAATATTTTAAAAATTAAAAATAGGGATTTATGATATAGAAATTTAAGGGGAACTAAAAAAAAATTAGATAAACTAAAATAAAAATAAAAAGAATTTTGAAAGATAGGGCTTTAGGGGGAATTGGGCTGAGACTTATACCTTCCAAAGAAAGGACTTATACCTTCCAAAGAAGGTATTCAATCCCGGCCAATTTTCAATTTGAATAGTCGATTCCCAATTTAGATCCCCGGGTTTCAAACACTCGAGTAGGCTCCCCCACTGAATCAACAGCCAAAGGAAAAAAAGTCTAAGGTAAGTCAGAGGCTACACCATTCAATCTCTATCTCAATTATTCTGAGAGTGGTGGGAAGCTGCCGCTTCTAGACACTATTGTGCTTCACTGCTTGTTTGATTACAAGAAGTGCTTAACGGTTTTAGGAATGCTTCGTTTGGCTTCCAAATAAATGTCAAGAAAGGTGGCTTCCTTCGGGGCCATGGAAGCAAGCATCTCCTTTTCGTGGGATGAAGTGGCTCTCAATCCCACGCGTTCTGAAAATCAAACATGTACATCAATCTCTCGTGCTTCGACTTCTAGAAAAGTGAGTCATTAGGGAGGATTAGCCTAAACTGGCTGACCCTGAAGCCCCACAAATTTTGTACATTTGTAATCTTTATTCATCAAGGTTAAACATAGTTTGTTTTGTTTTTCAAAACCACGCTGTCAGAGTCTGTAAATCATTGTTCTAGTTGGAATCAGCTAGGAGGTCCACCTTAAACCCCCCCCCACATTTTTTTTCAAACAAATAATCCCCTATTAATTTTTATTATTTTAGTTTTTATATTTGCCACATCACTGATTTGGACATATCCATATAAGAACAACAATATAGCAATCCAACATGGATCCGCAGGTGAATGATCCAAACTACCAATCTGGGTTTTAAAATAATGATTTGTTTTATTTAAAATGTCTTTAACGATCTTGACCCGGATAGAAAGAAAACGCGTCAAAAGTTTCTATTTAAAGAGCAAACATGAATTTGTTCATGTCTCTAACAATCTGGACCCCGCCAAAAGAAGAGCATTGGAAGTTTCTATTGTCGAGCAAAGGGCACATTGATATTGTCTCCCATGAATGATTGAGAACTACACAAAGACAAAATAGCAAAGCCTCATTCATTCTTAAATATTTATTGACTCATCGGATTACTTGTAGGAAAAAGTTTATATAAGGTTGGTACCTTAAAGCCTAAAATTAAGGTGCATCTCAGAAATCTATCGGAAAATGTTGTTTTAATGTCGAAAGCTAAAACACCATTTAAGCATCCCTAAAGCATTTTAGATCCAAAATTTCAAAAGAGCGTGAGAGACAGACAGAGTTAAAGAGGAAATATTAGAAATGGCAGAGACCGCTCTGCGTGTCTCATTGCAAAAGCTATGTGACCCTCTTGTACTTGGACTAGCTTTCCTCTATAAAGTACCGGATCAAGTCGAAAGGCTCAGGTTTGAGTTAGAGAGGATGCATTCCTTCCTCAAAATCATACAAAACATGGGAGAAACTGATGATATGACAAACTTTGGCGGGGCAAATAAGAGAATTAGCTCATGAGGCTGAGGATGTCATCTTCGAGTTTCTTCATCATGCTGAACAGCGAAAGCGAAGCGGATTCTTGGGTGGTTTAGCTAATTATATCCTCTTCATTTGGCAGTTGAGGGGTCTTCACAAGGTGGGCACAAAGATCGAAGAGATTAACTATAAAGTTGATGATCTTTCAAAGAGGAAGCATATCTATGATCTGCTACCAAGTAGCTTTAGGGAGGAAGGGACAAGTTCTACAGCCCAAAGGATGAAAGATAAGAGGATGACAACACCTCTAATAGGCAAGGAACTTTATTTGGTAGGGATAAAAAAAAGTTGAGTTCCTTAACAAGATCGTTGTTGAATGGACAAAAACAACGCTGTGTGGTTGCTGTGGTTGGGATGGGTGGCGTGGGGAAAGACTACTCTTGCAAAGAAAGCCTACAACCAAGATGATGTAAAGAGACATTTTAGTTGCTTTGCTTGGGTTTGTGTATCTCAGACATACCAAGTGAATGAAATACTTCGTGGTGTGATAAATGGAGTCATGACGCCTCCAGCAGACACACAAAATATTGATTACCAAGAATTGAAGAGGGTTCTCTCTAATCATTTGCAGGAAAGGAGGTATTTAGTAGTCTTTGATGATACATTGAAGACTGATGCCTGGGAAAGTATAGAAGCTGCCCTGCCAGACAGGAAGAACGGAAGTAGAGTTGTAATAACAACTCGCATAGAGCCAGTAGCTTCTTTAATTGCTTCAATGGATTCAGTCCATTATCTAAAGCCATTGCCAAAAGAAGAAAGCTGGGAGCTACTCTGCCGAAGGGCATTTGTAAAATCTAATGGAAGGTGCCCTGAAACTATGAGAGATATGAGCCACCAAATTGCACAAAGATGTGGTGGCCTACAGCTCGCTTTTGCTGTTGTCGGAGGCCTCTTGTCCACAAAAGCCATGACACCGTTATCATGGAAGAGAGTGCTTGATGGCTTTCGTTGGCACCTGGATGAAGGTGATGTCAAAATCTCTGATGTCTTATCATTGAGTTATTTCGATTTACCCTGTTACCTCAAACCATGCTTCTTATATTTGTCTGTGTTTCCCGAGGACTTCAAGATTAGAAGAACAACGTTAGTTCAATTGTGGCTAGCTGAGGGGTTTATTGCGAAGCGAGGAGGTGAGACATTGGAAGATGTAGCAGAAGACTATTTTGAAGAATTGGTAAGTCGGAATATATTGCAGGTGGAACGCATGAGTTTGAGCGGACACATCAAATCATGTGTTGTTCATGATCTTTTGCGTGACTTGGCAATAGCCAAAGCGAAGGAGGAGAACTTCTTGGGAGTGATTGCTCGTAAAGATGACATGCCCTCTCAAAGAGCTCGAAGCCTTACCTTCCACTGCAGTATTGAAGACCATGTCTCATTCCTTAAAAATGTCCGTTCGTTCCTTTTATCACTAAGGCTTCGAGTTTTTGGGAACCCAATAAACTATTCAATACACTATTTGCCCAACGTTGAGCTACTTCGGGTGTTAGTGCTTGAGAATATTACAACATATTACTTACCGAAGCAATTGGGAATTTTGACTCATCTCAGGTACTTGAGTTTTCAGAGAAGTATTTTATTAGAAAAGATTCCAAGCTCTATAAACAATCTTCAACACTTCGAAACGCTTAATTTGAGAGTTTCTGAATTGTTTTGCTCTACCAACAAAGGCTTGCCCTTAATTTTGCCAAGATTGAGACACTTTTATGTAAATAGAATACTTTTGGCAAGGCAACCAATACGTTTGACAGCAGAGAGTTTGAGATGCCTTCAGACCTTCGACCTCGGGGGTGGTTATAGTAGTTGGTGGCCTATACAAGAACCATGGGGTGATTTCACCCAACTCATGAAACTTTCTATCAATGAGATGCTAAAGGACAATATTGAGACCATCTGCAATTACATTGGAAAGCTAAAATGCCTGCAATCTCTAACTCTAGAAATCTGGAATAGAAATCCAATGCTCAATTTGGAAGCAGTTCCCCCCCCCCCCCGACGTTCCTTGAGAAAATGAAGCTACGAGGAAATTTAGAGAAGCTACCAAGCTGGTTTGGCAGCCTGCAATGCCTCGCCAAGGTGGTTTTAGTGCACGGTAGATGGAACATAGATGGTTTCTTGAGGCTCCAGGTGTTGCCGAAGCTGTGTATTCTTGTCTTATCGTCTGATTCGTATGTCGGAAAGGATATGAGTTGCATTGCCGGAGGCTTTCCTCGACTCCAGTACCTGATGCTTCATGGTCTTCAAGAGTTGGAGGAGTGGAAGAAGTTAGAGGAGGGATCCATGCCATGCCTTCGAACTCTAATCATCATGGAGTGTTACAAGCTGAGGCGGCTTCCGAAAAGGTTGTGGCACATTGTTAACCTCCAGGATGATGAGTGAAATATTGAACAAAATATTGCCAAAAAACCATATCATGGGAGAGTGTTACATGGTGCACCTTATCCTTGGATCGAAACGTTAGATGTTTAGGGCATTCCAAAGTGTGGGAGGGCAAACTTTTGCCTCCTTTATCATATTCTCATGGTGTTGCAAAGTAGCCAAAAGATTCATGCTCCCGGGGGAGCAATTTGTACATTTATACCTCTTTAGGTAAAGGGAAAGTATACAATGAGACTATTACTTTTGGTACAAGGTGGTTACAATTAATCTTGACCATTGGATGTGAAATTAGATGGCTGCATTTATTCTATTAGACCAACTCAAACTTTAAAAGAAAATTTCTTTAACTATGTGACACACCTAGGCTATAAAATTTCACATCATATGGTTATTAGTAATTGTGACCTCCTTGTATCAAAGGTAAATGGCCTCATTGTATACAATCCCTTAGGACCGTTTGGCTGGCTGGATTTTTCAATCATGTGGAAATGTGTGTACTAGAATTGGTATTTATTGGATCTTTCAATTCTTGGAATATGGGTGCATGCTATTTGGATAGCATCTGGTAAAGACTAGGAAGATGCAAATTCAATGTTTGGATTGTCTAGAATATGTTTTTCCTAGAAATTTCAATTTTTTTATGAATTATTATTATTCCAAAAAAGTAACTATTTCCAATGTTATAATTATTGAATCCTTTTTTCTAGTGGTTGTCCAAGTGAGGCAATATTTCAAAATTACCGAGTTTGCAATGTCATTTCTAACATTTCTAACAAAGATGAGCTGTGATTCGCTTGTAAGTGGAACTGCTCATCCATCACTCACAACTATGGATGGTGGGTGGCACACACGAGTACCCAATGGTATATGTAGTTTGCGGTTACACTGGTATGATCCCATGTGAGCAGTTATATTGAACGTTTTTATAATGCAAGCACCATGGTGCATAAGCATATAGGATGTCCTAAATATCTCTCTGTGAAATCACAAATTGGGTACTGCATGAGAGTTCCAGTTGATATTTAACTGATTGATTTCATGAGATCAGAAAAAACAGAAAGGATTTGGTAAAAGGAAACAAACTCCCACTCTTTTTCCAATTTCTGATGTATCAAAAGAAACACAAACTTACTCTTCCCCCAAATACACCTCTTTTAAGAGGTTAAAGAGATACTTTTTGCCAGGGACTGATGACAAGTACTTATAGTTTAACAAAAAGGAAATTCATCCCATGACCTGCATAACAAAATAAATGATCCCCTAACTGGGAGGCCATTTCACAGAGGTGAAAAATTCTACACAAAAATCTGATCCAATTCCTCAAATTTACAAATAGATATATCACACAAATAAATACAGAAATTGATCCACTAACCATGTATATAACAAGAACTCAAATTGAGTTCAATACAATAATCAATCAAGCTTGTATACTGTACAAGCATTCCCTTCTAATATCAGGAAGCCGTCTCCATGCTTTCTGATTCATGTCCTTATCACTATGAGTTTATGGCAGTACGTGGAACTCTTGAATCCCATGAGGCTTGAACATGAGCTTGAGCTTCAAAAAACTGCTTAACATCCCCATTGGCTTGCTTCCCTGATCTTGTCTCCCAGTAAGCCTTAAGCAACTCCTCAAAACTTCAGGTTTTCAATTCTTCAATGGATGCTACACTCGGCAAGTTGAAAGCTCTTCTTCTTGGAGTTGAAGATGGTTCATTCACCTGATCCCAGACAAAGAAGACAATTTGGAAGCTTAGAGGGCTACCAAATATGAGAGAGAGCAAGAGATATAAAGATTTCTTAATTTCCTTGAGCAACTGCACAAAAGTAGCTTACTATGTAGTTTTCTTGTAGACATTTCCCTGCTTGTTGCGTTATCTCAACATTATCACAGCAACTGCACAATATTAGCTTACCATGTCGTCTTCTTGTAGACATTTATCTGCTTGTTGGGTTATCTCGATAATCTTGGGATAATGTCCACTCCTCAATTCCCTCTAAGTCACTGAAACATAATGCAATTGTAGCATCTATGTTGCCACAGGCATCATGATCAAGCTTCAAGGCATCTGCAGAGTAGGTAGGAATATCAGACATGCAAATGGTCCTCTAAATTAAGCATAAAAAGCAAAAAATACACGTGTTCATGAAAACACACAGATATCAAGGATACCAAGAACCTCCATTCAAGTCACGCATCCTTGAATCCCAATTATATCATATGCATAAACAGGTGAGTGAATAAGTAAATTATGTCTTCAGGCATCTTTATTGATGTGTTCTTTGCAGTACATTTTCATGCCACGAGTTGCCAATATGGCGATTTTCTCATAAGATTCAGCTATAATAACAGTAAAACATGGTTCCCTTTTCATAATGAACTATCAAAATAACAGAAACGGAATGAGAAATGAAAACACAATAAAAGTGGATCCATAATGTTATCAACCAAGATCTTGAAGAAAACTACTGTATCACCCAAGAGCAAAGACCAAGCATAAAAACAATGAAAATGACTTAAATAAGAAGTACCCAAAACACCAAATAATGCACAAAAGGCTACTATCCCTAGCTCGAAAAATTGCAGATTTTTCGAACTTTTGAAACTAAATACCGAAAAGAGCACTGAATATCCAGATAAATTATACATTGCTCTAGTTGTTGCCAATATTACATATTCTCCATGATTTTTCCATTCAATGATGTTTCCAACTGGAACCATCGATTTCCAATAATGCAAAAGTATGAGTTGCAAAAGAACCGAGAAACTGTAAACCTAACACAAAACTCAAGGGATTTACCTCTATAATGGCCGGAAAACCAGAGCAACAAGGATCTTCACCCAGAGAATGGAAATTCCTGCAAAATTATTCATATTTTAGCCGAAATTTCACGAATTCTGAAGATTGCCAGAATCTCAACGAATAATTGGGGAAACCATATCGAAACCCTAGATTCTCACAGAAACGGCCGTCGAAGTGTGGCTGGGAGGTGGGATGGTGACGCAAGTTTTTTTTTTTTGGAAAAAAATTTTTTAATTTTTTTTATGAGTTTTAATTAGGAGAATTAAAGATTATATTTTGGGGATTTTTAACCCTTATTTTTAGATTCTTCTGCTTTAAATTATTATTAGGGTTTAGTAATTGTTATTTTTTTATTTGGTTGTTACGTCTTATCTTATTATTTTGTTAGGGGCATAGTATTGTCATTTATTTTTAAGTTAATAATGAGTAGTTAGGATTAAATAGAGTAGATAGCTACAATTTTATAGGAGCTTTTTAAACTTTTAAGTTACTCAAATTCTTGTATTTAAATAGTGGAGCTCCCCTTTTAGAAAAAGTGGTTATCTTGTAAAAAAATAACTTGTGTTGAGATATTATAAATAGATTATTTGGGTTGGATTCTCTTACATACCTTGAAAGATGATATACCTTTTTTGTAACTTTTTTATAAGATGATATACCTTTTTTGTAATTTTTTTATTTTAATTAATTTTTCTCTTTATTTTCTTCTGCATCAATTGATATTAGAGTGGGTTACAAAAACTTATTTTTATTTTAATTTTTTTATTTTTCAATTAGTAAGTTACAATGGCTTCAAAAGAGGTATCCTTGATTAAAGTTGTTAACTCAAAAGGGACATCTCGAATTAAAGTTGTTGACTCAAGCAGTTCAAATGTTTGTGGATAAAATAAAAAAATTCATGCCCTTAGCTAAAGTAGTAGATGAACTCGTGGAGGAGGTGGCTCAACTTCGGTGTGAATCAAATATAGAGATTAGCATTAAAGATCAAGGCAATGATGGTGAAGGAGGTAATTTTCATCTTGTTCTTAACAAACCTCCAACGGCTTTGGTTAGTGAAGAGTTTAATGATCTAACCCTTCAAAACTAGAAAAAGATACGGAACATAAAATAAATAAAAAAAGGTTTCTATGTTTTCCGTGCAACATAGAAGTTCCATCATCCCCTACCATCCAGCTATTCAATTTTGATCAAGAGAGCCACTCACTATTTGATCTTAGATCTAATGTCTCAAAGTATTTTATTTTTAGTTTTTTTTTTATACAAGTTGTATGAATATTGGTACGTGTCATCTTCTCATTGGGGCGCACTTATAAAAAATGTTAAAAATTAACTTTCGATAAAATATAATGACCAAAATACCCTTTAAAACTTTCAAGGGTATTTTGGTTATTTTATTTTATTGATTTTTTTTATATATATATTTTTCGCTAGTGTGAGTTTAATAGAGGAATGGACGTCCAAAATTTGGTATAAAAGTAGTTTATAAAAAAAATTAAAAATAAAATAGTGTAGAGACGTGACACTGTGATTGCGGCAATTTTAGCCCTCCATTCAAAATGGACGGTTGGATAAGGGGGAGGATAGAACTTCTATGCTGTAAGGAAAAGATAGAAAGCTTGCCCAAATAAAAAACAATATTCCTGAGATTAAGTTTCCTCTTGACGGGAAAAATCGTTGGAAATCATATTCATAAGATCAAGCTCCCTCTCTACACGAAAAATCATGTGGAAAAACATATTTCAAGCATTGGATTTTGTGGAAGACAATGTCAGTCGCAAACCCATAAATGATAAAAGATGGTTGAGTCTAAGATATATGCATTGATGAGGTATTTTCACAATCATTTGTACTTCTAGAGCCAAAGGAGAAAAAGGCAAAAAAAAGATGTGAATTTGATGTAGATCTCATCTTAGGCCTCTTCAAACTCAAGGATGAGCTTTCCCCAATAATAATAAATAAAAAGGAAAGAAAAGAAGAAAAAGTAGCCATATGTAGCATTTAGGCTATAGAAACAAGAAACAATGAGCCATACATTACTTGGATTTGTTCTACATTTGGAGGAGTAAATGTGTTCATCCTTGGAGCTTTGTGTTATATTTGCTGATGGATACTTAGTTGCATCCCTCAATTCCTAATGTTTCATGTCATTTTTGGGTTAACAAATACTTGGCGGGACATGTTGGGGTGTGTTAATTTCTAGTGATACAAAACACTTCCAAACACATGTTCCCCAATGTCACACGTTTATTTTTATCTTTATTTTTATTTTTATTTTTATTTTTTTGGGTGATTCAATGGGAAAGACATGCCCCTATCCATTTTTCTGGTGAATTAAGGAGTTAGCTTTTTTAAAAGTGTCGGCCGGCAGTACTAACATGATTGAAAACGACTAGTAACTAAATATAAGGGTGCTACCATAAAAAGTATGACATTCAGCAATATATTGGGTGTTATTTCGAACTTTACAATTTAATATCCTCTAATAAGGACCTTTATCTTAATAACAAATAAAGTATCAAATATCTCCTAAGACAACCAACCAACTTTCTAGCCTTAGTTTTAGCTTTATGAGTAACATGGTTTATTTGTAGTTTTATAATGTGAAAGGAAAATATATATTGTCTAACAAATTAATATAGAACGTGTCTATTGTAATCAGTATATATGAGCAAGATAGGTAGAATATCTTGTATTTATGGTAAGAGTATAATATATGTATCTATGATTTATTTTTATTCTTGTTATCTATATTTATCTATATAAGGTAGGTTTGTATTTTTATATTAATTAATGGATATTGAGTCTCTTAAAAAAAATCTCAGACTCTTCACATAGTATCAGATTCATGTTCGCAGTGTCTATTCTCTGTTAATATGTTATTACTTGATTCTATACGGATTTGACCCATCTGAAAAACAGTCCTTCCACCTCTCTGGATCTTGATTTTAGGGTAAGATCTATCTGAAATCTGCCTAGTTAGTGGAAAATCTAGTTTGATCAAAGATCTACCGAAAACAAGCATCGGAGATCCGCTAGAAAATCATCCCTGGCCTAAAAAAAACTGAAAACTGCCAAATATGAAGCTCTCTTTAGAATTCCCTCCGTCATTTTTTTCTTCTACCTCGATCTCCCCTGTTTGTTGTCTCTCTTGGATATGTGCATCTCTCTCTCTTCGGTTTGCTCGGTTCTTTTGGTTTAGCTTTTAAAGAGAGAGAGAGATGGGAATCTGAGATTCACTGTACCTAGAGATAAATGATAAAAAAATATCCGTTGCTCGTTCTCGCTCTTCTCCAGTTTTATTCGGGGAAAGAATCTGCCATTTTCCTGCTTCTTGCATTCTTACAGTAGTGAATATTAATATTCAAAAGAGCAACGATGCATTTACCGTGGACTTGAATAAGCCTCTTGTCTTCCAGGTTGGTCACCAGCCGATAGTTAGCAAGGTCGGTCCTCCTTTTTTTCCTTTGCAGAGGGACTTTTGGGAGTTCCTCACACACCGTATGGGCAGTTTTCTGTTTGTCCATCACCACATCGATTCAAAGGGAGCTTTCGCTTCCGCAAGCAGCTCTATCTGTTGGTCTTGCGATATTTGTATGAACGTTGCTCGAGTACACCTTGCTACCGCTTGGGCATGCTTTTTTATTTTTTTCAACTCAGTGTTCAAACTTTAACAGCTCTCTCGTAACTTCTTTTTGAATTTGAAGGGGAATATGAAAGAAAAACAAATGCTAGTATACATTGCACTCAATATATATAAGCATGGTAGGTATAATATCTTATATTTATAGCAAGTTTGGCTATAGTATATGTATATGTGATTTATTTTTATTATTGCCATTTTTATTTGTCTATATAAGATAAGATTGTATATTTATATTAATTACTGAACATTGAATTTCTTCAGATAAACATGAAACCCTTCACATATAAGTAAGGAGTATTTCTCATTTTTTATTAATACGAGCTTCTAATCCTCACTTTCATTGTAGCATTCTCAATTGCCAAGTTAAAATTTACAACAAAGTAATTTGGTAGCCCAGTGACAAATTTTGCAATATCAAATGCCTCCTAAAAGTTGGAGAATTCTTTTTGCGGGAGCATAAAATTGCTAGACTTGGGTCATGCAAAACTATACCTCACGTATGGGCTAATCGACAATGGCTATATGTGAAAACAGGAGAAAACGATCTATTTTCTCAATTACCGTTTTACCCCATTTGGAAATGGGAAAACTATGAATGCTTAGATAAATAATGGGCTCCGTGTATCCACATTTTGCCCCAATCTTTAAAGTAGACCCCCAGGCATACCATTGATTCCTCATAAAAAAAAGGGAGAGAGGGGAGACCCTCCTCGCCCTTCTTTTACTTCTCTAACCTCACAATCTCTCTTTTCTCTTTTCTCCAGCTTTGTGGCCTACACAGAAATTCCGCCTCTAGCTTGAGCTCTCTCCCTCTTTTCAGTTTTTACAATTTTTTCCAGTTTTTATAGTTTTCAGGAAAACAACTTTCTCAGTTAGCAAACAGGGCCCAAGTGTTTTTAGCATGAATATTATTTTCCCTCAATAGCATATTAATCAAAATACTTATATGAGAATATTTTTATGATATCAGATTTTGGGAATCACTTAAAAAACCACTAGATGATTATCTTCAAAACAAAAAATTTGGATTTTGAGTTGTCATTGATATGATACTTTCAATTCAGTTTTAGACATTATTTTTTCAACCCTATAAAGAGTGTAATTTAAATTATTTTGTTCTTAACTGAAAAGTGTTACATCCCAAAAAATGGACATCCTAGAGGCGCTGTGATTTTATTTTACCTGAAGAAGTAAATGAATACTATGCTCCGACAGGAGCATGATATCATTCAGATTCTCAACTTATCTATAGCCACCCACGTGGTCCAATGAACGATGCGACGGTCACTTTAACACACACGTCGCTACGATGGGGAGTCGGCGCGGAGCCGTTGCAAACTTTAAAGGCGGAGCCTAAAACGAGCAGAAAACTTGAAAGTTGAAACCAATGGTTTAAAAAACGGATCGGTGACCCGGATCTGGCTTCCAAAAAACCGATTCAGATCGGCGAATCGGCGATTCGGATCGGAAATCGGGTGAATCGGTCAGAATAAAGCTTAAAAAAAATTCGAAAAAATTATTAAAATTCATTATAAATATTGGTTTTTAGGAATTCAATAAAAAATGAGGGTACTCCATTAAGAATTTTCATGTTTTTGAATGAATATGCGAATATTGATATGTTC